AGTGTGTCTGCCATCCCCTGAGCCTGTTTTAGCTCTTCCTTGGCTGGAACTTGAGCAGACCGTAGAAGTGGCGCTGCTATCTCCTCAGCCTGCTCAGGATCTAGTGGAGGATGAGGCTGGACAGACTGAGGAGATGGAACTGCTGTCTCCCCAGGTTGTTGAGGGTCGTCCTCGGCTTTCTAGCTGTGGGTCACTGATGACAGAGATCCCTCCTCCTCAGCCATCTCCAGTGAGGGAACCAGTGAGGCGAGGCTTTACAGCAGGAGGGTTGGTGCGACAGTTGTTTAGGAATGTGGATGTCTCTTTAGTTACTGGTATCCTCTTCCCTGCTTTAATCCCTTTTAATTTCAGTTTGTAAGGTATTAAACTAGAGTTTTCAATTAAAAAGTTTTAAATAAAAGTTAAATAAGAGTTAAGATAAGAGTTAAATAGGTGTAAATTTTTCCTTATTTTCTCTTGGATGTTGTAGTAAGGCCTCCCAGTGTAGGCACATATTATTTAGGTGTAATTGCAAAGTACAGTTAAATTTTTTAAAATTATAAATGTGGTTATGATAATTTTCACATTCTAAAGGATAACTAAAGTAAGATTAAAGTAATTTTTTTTCTTAATCTTATCATGCAATTTGCATCTAGGAATTTCAATGAAAGCATTATTTAGACACACTCAGGAAAGTGAAATTTAAAAAAAAAAAAATTTACTAAACTTTTTCTTAACTTTCAATTTTGAATAAGTTTAAATTGTCTTTATTTCTCATGGATACTGCATCTAAATATCTCAATGCAAGCACACACCGTTATTTAGATGCAGTTATTCAGGAGATAAACTAACTGTTAAAGTTTTAGTTGGTAATTATAGGGCTAATTTTATGTTCCTTCTTTTCTTTATTGTCAGAGCTAAAACTAAAGATTAAACTTTTGAAAGATTAAATTAAGAAACAAGAGATTATTCATTTAAAATAACTACAACAAGAAATTGGATGTAGATTTTGCTAAAACTACAGTAAATAAGTAACTAGATTTAAATTTCCGTAAAATATCAATAACTAATTTCTTTGATTTAAAATTAAATTTGACTTAAACTTGCAGTAGATAAATAATTAGTTATAAATTTTCCTAAATCTGCAGTAACTAAGTCATTAGGTTTATATTTTCCTTTTTGCTCACTTTTTCCTCCTTTCATTTTCATTACATTCTGTGTGTGCATGACGAGTGATTTATTTTTTTACACTTTGTATTTTTATATATTTTGTACTGTGCATTAATTTTGTGTATATCTCTTAGAGGCCTTCTTGACTGTAAACCTAAGTATATTTTGGTTAATTACAGTAGGACTTTATAATATTTTCTAAATTCCCTCTCCCTCTTTCCCCCAGGGTTTGCTATAGTTAAGTTGTAATTTGGGATTTATTTTAAGTAACTAATGGCTTTTTGTTTGATATATGAAAAACTTCTTTGTTGACTTGGTTATACTTTAAGCTTAGAGAATCCATTCTTTCATTTCAGAGTCTTTCAATTCTCCTATTAAATTCAACATTGGAATGGGTTATTTATAAGTTTCCCTTTTAATTATTTTCTGAGATGAATTTGTAAATTTCCTTTTACAGTGATTTCATTCGGACAACATTTTGGTAATGTTAAAATTAGGGGTTTAGTTTAGTGAGGTATTGCTGAATAATATTTTTCATTTTCTCTTTATTTAAAGAGTGTTCAGATTTATTTTTATTTATTTCATGTACTTGTTATTGTTTTGTTATCTTTGTTTGTATTTATTGTTTTGTAATATATATATTCTATTGTATATTGTTTTGTGTATCTCAAGGATTTCTCATATAAAATATTTATTTTGGTTAATTTAAACATATCTTTTGAAAAGTAAGTTAACCTTCCTTTCCTTATAAAAGTTAAATGCATGGGGTACGTATGTCTGTTTTCCCTCTCTTTATTTCGGTCTTCTTTTCTTCAATAAATATGTATAGATTAAATACTTGTTAATCATTAAGATAAAATCAGGAGCCCCCTTTTTTCACACAGTTTTCTCATGAAGGCTAGTGGCTAAATATCTCAATTCATGCACACACCATTATTTAGCCACTGCATTCTTGAGAGTAACTTAATAAATTTGTTACAGTTAAAGAATTAATTATTATAATTCCATCATTGAAGGTTAATTTTTTTTTTTTTTTTTTTTTTGTTGTAAATTTCATCTATTCATTATATTTTAAAAAATAATTTTTTGGGGTAGTGGATTAGACATTTAAGGTTTTACATTTTCCATTTATTTTTCCTGTAAGTTAATTTCCCTGTAATTTGGGATTATGACCTTGAGATTATCTATTTTTCCTGTAAGTTAACGTTCCATGTAATTTGAGATCATCTATTTTTCCCATAAGTTAATTTCCCTGTAATTTGGGATTATGACCTTGAGATTATTTCTGTTGTGTCTCTGTGATTAATGTTAAAGTCATTTATTGTTTTGTAATATTGTATTTACATTTATTGTGCCAATGTATTTGTGTTTGTATATCTCATGGGTTCCCTCCATAATTCATAGTTTATAAATTCTCTTTCTTATAATCCCCAAGATTGCAAGATCAATTATTATTTGATGCTTTGTTTAAATTGGATAAATTCATTTTATCATTTATTTTCATGGGATTTAAGTAACTATCAGTATTTTGTTATTGTTAATTATATCAGTTTCAATTTTCCATCCCATTCTTCAATTCTATTAAATAAGCTCAGAGGTTTATTCTTGTAAAAAACATTAAAGGAAATTTTTTCTTCTCTTGTGAATACTTCTCAGATTCAGTTTCAGAAATTTCATAATTTAATTAATTTCCCTTATAAACTCTTTTGGTCGGGATTAAGATTACTGTAAAGTTTAGTGTTAATGATTGCGCGTGTTGTTCCATTTCTTTTGACCATTATAATTAATTCACTGTTTATTGGTTGTCCATCGACGTACGCTTACCGATTCCAATGATTAATTGGGAGTTTTTGTAAAATTCGCTGCTGAGAAAATTGTGTTTAATGAGCTTTGCATAATAAATGTTTCTGTACGAGTTCTTTTGTTACACAGCTTTCTGAAAATGGCCGAGCTTCGCCTAATGAATATTTCTTTATGAATTATTTTGTTCCGCAGCTTTAACAAGTTAAAATGTCAGCAAACCATATCTTGAAGGAAGGACTATGACAGCATCTTCAATTCTTCCTCGTTAACAATTTTGTACCGTCATTGTTTCTAAAAAATTCAATGTTCAACAATGTTAGAGTTGTTAATGTTCAACTCTCCTTTAATGTATTGGTGTATTTATATTCAGTATGTTTGTCTGTCTGTCTTACTGTGTAGTCAAATCAAACGTGCATTTGAATCAATGCATGCCCTTGTTGCTGCATATGAACTGTTCTTTATGCTTAAGTGACTTTTATTTAAATTAGCTTATGAAAATTCACTCTCAGCTTCTCACAACCAGTATGGGAACCAATTTGTACTTGATGTTTCTATGGATGCTTTCTCTGATGCTTCTCCTGATCTACATATCTTGCTTTATTTAGCTCAGGTGTTTTCATTATTTTGATTATTTCCAAGCCAATCTTGCACAGTATCATTATTTTTGCACGCTGTCTGAGATGCTTACTTCGGATGCTGCACCTGACCTACATTTTACAATTGAGTGACTGGTTAAGGATGTTTTTATTGCATATTAGAAACAAAACCTGCTCACATGCTGCCTCTTACCATGTTGCATCTGCTGCATACATTGAGTGCTGTTTTCAACCTACAATTTAGGGGTGTGATCAGAAGAGAAATTAGTTAGATTTTGGTGTTTTCTTTTTTTATCTCCATAACAGAGAATGTTCTATTCAATATAATACCATATATGTATTACGTTTTTACAGTTTTTGGTGTATAACCTTTCTGAAATGTCCATTTTTTTGTATTTTTAAAATTGTTCAGTGTCTGATTGTTCGGTGTTTTCATTATTGTTTAACTTTTGAATGTCTCAGCTGTTTGTCTGTCCACCACAACCCTCGCCTCACCTCACCTCACCTCACCTCAGCATCTCTGTCCAGACATAGCTGTAAAGTGAGTGGTTTTGTTTTCAGTATTCAGGGCCCCGCTATGATAATGATCAATCTGTCTGTCTGTCTGTCTGATATTGCTTGTCCAGAATGTACAGTTTCTCCACTTGGCTCGATCTGGTTCTAACTGCAGTGACCTTGAACCAATTTTTTTAGATAAAAGGTCAAAGAAAAAAAAAACATCTCAGTATACTGTGTAAAATTCTTATCTGGATCTTATTTTCTCTCCCTTTAGCCTTTGATGGTTTATACTTCACCCCATATATAATGCCCAGGGTGAAGGATGTACAGTTTTTTGGTCAAAAGTCAAGGTCTAAACATCTTTATGTGTAAATCCCTTGCAGTGAGCAGTATATTTCTATCCTCTTTGCAGTATCAAACTAATTTTCATGATCAAAGGTCACTGGCAAACAAAATCTCTGTTTCTAATATAATTTTTATCCAACAAATTGTGTGTTTTCTATCTGCAAGACTTGGTCTATTCAGCTATTATTTTACCCATGGGTTAAGGGTGTACCGATGCTTTAACCAAGTTCCTTGGTGAGATGTCAAGGTCATGGCCAATATCTTTGTGATATTTTTGTCGGCGTTATTTTCCATTCTCTTTCATACCCAGTGTGCCAGTGAGTGCAAGTCTAAGGTCAATTGCAAGGTCAAACTCCAAAATACAATTATTATTCCCTTCACCCTAAGTCCTTTAGTAAGAGTGGGGCCCTTTGAGATGGTCACCAACTCATTGATGTACTTGTATATATAACATCATGGTGTTGGGATTTTCATCTTATACAAGCAAAAAAAAAAAAAAAAAATGCAAAAAAATACAAAAAAACAAAAAAACAAAAAAAAAATTACAAAAATACAAAAAAAAAAAAAAAAAAAAAATACAAAAAAAAAAAAAAAATCTGTGAAATCACTAATTTTCGTGGGGGTTTAATTTCCCTTGAGGTACAAAGTGAAACAGGAATTTACTCCCACCACAAAATGTAATTTTTCACAATAACAACTCAGCAATTTTTCATCCATGCATAAATCCATATTTTTCCTTCAAATCACAAAAATTTAATTTGACTCCACGAAAATATGTGATTTAATTTACAGTGTATATTTATCAGTATGGGTTATGTGTAAATATTCAGTGATTGTGTGTCTGTCAGTGTCGATGTCACTTCCTGCTTAGTAGATGGAGACCAATTATCTGGTCTTTCAAGTTTTTTTTCTTAGTCCAGTTAAGTTTGAGATAACAAGGTTTGACTGTACTTTCCCTTTAGAATTAAAAGTCATCATAGATAATGTTGATAAATGTCAAAGATCACCATCGCTATAGACCACAACCATCTGGTGGCTATTCATTTAAATGTCTTCTAAATCTAAACTGTAATTTTTCAAATTGTATGGAAAGTTCTTTGTGACTAAATTATGACATATTTCAAAATTGAAGTCTCCAGATTTTTTGGTGTATAATTTTCATACCAAAACTTGTCTAAATCAACATTATTATAATCATTTGTTTGATTGTCTTCAAGGTACTTCTTGGGATTGTTTCAAATAGGTAAATGGGTATTAAAGGGGAGGGGCATGCTAATGATAAACTTTTTGCTAGTATTTTGTCAGGGTGTGAGTCACTATCCAGTCTTTCAGGATCTTCCTTAAGATAGACTTTCCAGTTCATTCCAGGCATTTTCTCTTCTGTAATGCCATAGAATTATGGCTTCAATTTGTGTAAGTATATGAAATTTCATGTTTAAGTTAAAAATTGCATTGAAAGTCATGATCAGTCTTTCTGGCTATTCTATAATACAATTAAGCTATCAGATTTTCTGAATTCTTCCCAAATTCCATTATACCGGTTAGCCTTAAGAGTTTTGAGTAGATAATCAAAATGAAAACACGATCATATACCTTTATGTTTTTTGTGAGAGAACATGCAGAAGGTTAGGCTAGCCTGGATTCCATGTATAGGAGAGTTGATAATGTGCTTCTGCCAGAATGACAAGGCCAAAGGTACTGATTGACTGCTGTCCAACCTAGTAGTTATGGTAAGACACAGGCTCCTCTCCTTTCACTAGAGATTTCCTAGCTCTCCTTTGATAAAGTCTGAGTAGTTTTGTCTTGTTGACCTTTTCACTTTCTGTGTTAACACGTATAAGGTATGTTTAGCTAGCCTGGTTGATACGTTCTAGAGCATACTTTCATGTTTTACCCAGAGTACTGATATAAAAGATGGACTTGGCTTATCAACCTAGAATTGAGAGAAAGAGATAAATTGTCCTCTCTTTTTACGTGTGAGATTATTTCTCTTTTCCGTTTGATGAAGTCTTGGTACTTCTGTTTTATTGATCTTCATTCATTCTTTGTGTACAGGAAGAGAGTTGATTGGCATCCATTCCCAGTTTTACATCAGCCTGTCAGATGAGTCCCAATAGGAAAGGTTGACTATGGCAAACTGATGTTAGGGTAGGTAAAGTGTTTACTCATTGTTAAATGTATGATCTCTCTCATAATTTCTAGTACATCTAGGCTCTGTAATTTAAGCTCTTGCATGTTCTATCTTTATAGAAGAGGGATTGGCTAGTCTAGACCTAGCAGTCAAGAGGAACATACCACCCAATAAACTGATACTAACCTTGAAAGATGCAGTAAGATTCATGCTTTCACTCTTGCATGCATTCTTTATCTTGATATTATTTTGATGTAGTTGGTCCGACTTTGACTTCTCAACTTTTAATTGACAGATTGCCCATCAGAAACAGGAGGAAATTGAGCCACTTAACAGGCAAAGAGTCTGAGAAAAGGTTTTGATTTTGTCTGTATAAAAAACAGATATGAGGTTAGCTGAATTGTTATTGTTGCACATTTTTCTGTCCCTAGCTATCCCCTTCTAACACAAACCAGTTTATTTTGATCAGTATACATACATACTTGCATTAACTATTTGCAATATCACTGAGCTCCTACGATCATACTCGAACATTAAAAATCATTAGAGTTGTCTCCCCCATTACCTGGAACTCTTCACTACTTCAGTTTATGTTCGGGCACTGACATTTATGGCAGTTTATTGTAGCATGGTTTGAGAATTGAAGGTTTTTGATTTGCCTGTGATCATGATCATGGAAAATTGCAAAAAAGCGTGCAATGCTCTGGAGATATGAACATCCTCTATGATCATCCCAATGTTTTCGACACAGATTGTGCACAGAGGAGTTTACTTGTAAAACATGCATAGCTTGAACACCAGGTTGGTGGACTGCATAAAAACAAAATGGTGGATAAGGCTCTAGCTAAAGCTGTCAAGCCTGTTGAAACTCCCACATTGTCTGAGATGAGAGAGAGAGAGGGAGAGAGAGAGAGCACTTAGTACGGGGGCAGACGAGTGATGTTAGAGTTTTGTTGTTATCTTGGTCTCTGAGCGGCATGGGGGACAGAACATGGCCTGCACCCCCTCTGAGCAGTCAATCAACAGCCTTGCAAGACCAGGTTTTCGCCTAAAAGCAGACAGTGGAACCCAAATACAGCTTCTGTGTCCTTAAATTCTGCCCAAATACCATCTATGAGCAGTCAAATGCAGATGTCTTTCATGCCAGTCACACCTTTAGGTGTACAGGGAAATTTTATGAATTGGTCTAATTAGTGTTTAAAGAATTCGTTGACAATAGAATCAGGCTCATGACTCAACAGAATAATTAAATTGGGGTTGTCTCATGAGACCCTGAAACCCCAAGTGAGTCTGTTAATGCAGTTGCAGGTGGACAAGCATGTGACTGATGTTTTAATAGATTTGAAAGAGAAACAAGATCAGTCGGTCCTAATGTCCTAGACCTGGCAGATGACAGAGGTGATGACAATGAGGATTCTGTTAATGGGCCAAAATATCTCAAATAGGTTGGGAGTCGAGGAGGTGACGAAATATAGGCTTAAACAAGCCCTGAAAAAGGTTTAGATGAATGGAAAAATATAAAGTGTGACAGTTTGTTCAATGACTTTTACATCCAGACCTGGCCAGCTTATTGAATTGCCATGCCAATTGTAAAGAAGTTTGAATCATCACTATGTTTGTGTTTACCTTACTTGGAGATGCTGACTAGATGAAACTGTGGATTACACATTTTGAATTTTTTACCCAGACAAAAACTGAAACAGATATCTGCAAAAATAGAAAGTACCAAAACATTGGAAAACACTTGTAAGTATCAGATTTTTGGATTCAGATTAGTGGAATTCAGATAAATATTGGAACAAAATCATCACTGTGATGTCAGTTTGCTGAGGATGATGATCAGTCTTAAGATGATTCTAGATCACAAAATAAATGTGATGAGACAGAATCAACAGTTGCTTCTAATGAGAGCACCGGCATTTGGAAGAACTTCATAACTAAGTTAGCTTCAGAATTAAAAGTTCCCTTAGAGACTGATAAACAAGAGCAAGAGAATCTACAGTGTAACCAAGAATCCTCAAAGATTAGGCCTCCTTTGGAGGGGTCAGCCATACAAGCGCAAGCTCTTTCAACTAATTCTAATAAATTAAGAGTTGAACAAATGGGAATAAGACTTCTCCCTGACTTGCAGTTTTTGGAAAAGACACAAAAGGCAAATAAGGCTTGGAAGCCTATGTTTATTCTGAGATTTGACCATTTTTGCTACTGACAACAAAAACATGGGTTATAAACACGGGTTTTACATTTGAAAGCCTACATTTTGTTCCGTTCATTTTGTTCAAGGTCCAGACAGGAGTGTGACAAGGATGTGTTATGTCTGTGTTCCTGTTCATCATTGTGGTAGACTTGATAATGAGAAATACCAACAATAGGAAGAGAGATATATGTTGGAAATTTATGTCCACTGTAGAAGACCTGGATTATGTAGAAGACCTTGCACTTATTTCCAGCAAGCACAGCAACATGCAAGAAAAGACCAGGAGATTACATGATGTCGCTGAATATACAGGCCTAAAAATTAATGTCGACAAGACAAAAAGCATGAGAATAAATGGAAAAAAGAATGATGCCATCAGGTTAATAACAAGAAGTAGATGTTGAATCATTTCTCTACCTGGGTGCCACAATGGACAAGACGGGAGGAACTGAGGCAGACATACGGAGAAGGCTGGGCTTAGTAAAGACTGATTTTGCTTCCCTTACCAAAGTATGGAAGTCAGCACAATACAGCACAAAGACCAAACTTAAGATCTTCAACATAAATCTCATATCTGTGCTGCTGTATTGTTTTGAACTATGGAGAACCAACAAGAAAGACGTGAAAAGCTGGACACATTCCATTGGAGATGCCTTAGGAGGATCCTAAAAATATACTGGCCTGAAAAGATAAACAAACAACAATTCTATGAGAGAGCAAGATCCATACCCCTATCAAGGACGATCAAAGGCAGGAGATGGAGATGGGCAGGCCACATCCTCCGAAGGGAAGCCAGCTCACATATAAGAACAGCTCTCACATGGGCCCCTGAGGGAAAGAGAAGAAGAGGACAGCCAAAGAATACCTGGTGACGCTCTGTTGAGAGAGAAAGGGAAGAACTAGGTTGGAGCAGCTGGAAGGAGGGGCAGGTTGTTGCCAGTGACCGCCGTAAGTGGCGTTCTTTGTTGAACGGCCTCGTGTGTCCTCCGGGGCATGGAGAGAATAAGTAAGTAAGTATTTTGTTCTCTCATATTTTCTTGGAATGTTTTTGAATTGTACTAATCTTGTGTCAGATTATATCTTTGACAGGGACACAGAATAGGGAGGGTCAGAAATCAGAAGAGGATGTCTACCACATAATGAAGAAGAGACCATTGCCAGGATACAGGGTATCCACTATAACAACAAGCCAACATTAGCCAACATGGTAAGAAACATTAGGTGTATCTGTTGCATTTTGGATTTATGTTTCCTATTCTCACTTGATCTATCAATAAGGCATAATCACTTTAACTTTTGTCCATTTTCATTAACAGAATAATGGTTAGATAAGCGTTGATCTCACCTTGGAGAATGACTCATTGTCTTGTCACATAAGGTCCAGAAAGCAGGGAGCAGCAGCAGTCAGCCACAAAAGAAAGGGTGAGATATTTCTAGTCTGTTAGTTTTTTTCATATTGGATGTAAACCAGGACCTCTTCTAATCTTAAATCTTAATATTACAAAAACAGAGACGGGCAGTCCACTATCCTTAAAGATCATAAGCATCAATTGCCAGCAAGAATTCAGAGAGCTGGAATTGACTGCAAGAATTTAGAGAGCTGTAATTAACTGCTGTCATCCCTTGTGACAGTAAGACAATAGCTCTAATTTTTTATCTGTCAGTTTGTGTTAATCTTTCTCAATTGATGAGATATTTGTACATTTTAAATGACCTCATATATTTGTACATTTTAAATGACCTCATATAATTTTTTATAAACAGGCAGAGTGTTTACCAAGACTTAATCCCATGTTTAAGATCTCCATGTTAGAGGAAGAGTTGTAAGAGTCCTGTGTCAACGTGTCCTAACCACCAGGTGAGGGTAAATCCCAATATACTCTAAAACATTCCATAACTTTCTTATTTGATGAATCCTAAGTCCTTTTGTTTTATTGACCTCTTCACTTTTTGTTTTGAAAGGTAAAGAGTTGGTGATTTCTGGATTTAGGGAAGATTATCAATCGTTTTAGAGTGCCAAGAACAAGGATGGACTGTGCTCTAAGCTAAAAGAAAGGGTAAGACACAAATGTACTTACTGTAAACCAGTTACTGTAAAAGCACATATTTTCGTGGGGTCAAATTTTTGAGGCTTGAGAAAAAATATTGGTTTTTGGGGATTTGATTTTATGGTTAAGAAGCGTTGAGTAGTAGAATTAATCTTTTATTATTCTGTCTCAACAGAAGAAAGGGGTTCCTTGCTTTGACTCGGCAGTGAAGAGGAGTTGCCCAATAAACAAAGACCAACCATGGTAAGGTATATGCTTTTCTCTTGCAAACATTCCTTATTATGTTAACTTTGTTATCAAATGATGTGGACTGACTCCAGCTTTGAACTCTTGACTTTCACTTGACAGGATGTAGAGCACCAGGCCCATTAGAAGCAGGAAGACTTTGAACCACTTAGAAGCCAAGAGCCAAGCTTAGTAATAATAGGTATTTTTTCTGTCAGTTTACTTTAATTATTTTTTAACTGTACTAATCTTTTGTCAGTTTCTAATCTTTGACAGGAGCACAGAGTGTGGATAGGGAGATGGAAGCCAGAAACACACTGAAGAGGAAACCATTGCCAGGATACAGGGTATCCACTATATCAACAGGCCTACTTTGGCTAATGTGGTAAGAAGCAAACTTCATTTGTTGGATTCTGGTTTTCTGTTAATAAAAATAAAGGACTTGTTTGACCTCTTCACTCTCAATGTTAACAGAGTAATGGTAAAGCAAGCCTCCCACTCTGGAAAAAAAGACTCAATGATCTGAGACAAGGAGTCCAGAGAACAAGGATCAACTGAAGCCAACCATGGAGTAAAAGGTAAGATTCAAGCTTTCTTCCTTAAACATTTCTTGTGCTCTCTCCTACTTGATGTGGTCTGGTCCCCTTTGATCTGAAATCTCTATCTTACAGGAGCATGGAGAGGCAGTACCCATCTTAAAATTAAGCTGAGTGCATAAATTGCCAGCAAGATTACACAAAGCTGAAACTGAAAGATACCAACCCTACAGGTAACTGTAAGAAATAATCTCCACTTCTTTCAGTCTTTCAGTTTGCATCGCTCTTTCTCACTTGATCATGATTAGATTACCTTCCCTCATTCTATTCTTAACAGTCAGAGTGTAAGGCAACCATCGATCCTATGTTCAAGAGCAGATCTTCGTGTTAGAGGAAGAGAGGTTTAGGAGTACTGATTGACTGCAGCCTACTGTAGGAGTCAGGGTAAGACACGAGCTCTACTCTGTTCACTCTTAGAGATTCATAAATCTTTATTTGATAAAGTCTCATTTTTGAATCTCTTTACATTCTGTGTCAATAGGGAGAAGGTTAGGCATGCCTGGTTCTCTGGTTTTAGAGGTGACAGTAATGCATGAACCACAGAGAGTCAAGAGCAAGGACTGACTGGGGGTTTACCTAGAACTGAGGGTAAGACACA